TAAATTAAAATGTAGGATATCTGAAATTACCCTGGCCAGTTTTATCGCAAGGAATGCATGCAGCGAATACAATCGCACGGATTATTCGCTAAATTCTGAGAGCTCGGTATGCGTGTCGTTTAACATCAATCGCGTTTGAAAACGCGTTTCGTGCATCCGCGTAATTGACGCCCTCGCGTCGCGACTGGCGCCTGCACGATGGTCGGTTTAATTCGACGTGACCGAATTTGCATTTCGGTCAAACGTGTGTCGTCCGCGCTTCATTTAATCCTCTTGACGTATCCGTCCCATAGAAACGCGTTCGACCGCTCGTCATTATCTACTACGCGCGCGATAAGCACGGACGATTTCGGACGCGCCGATTATCTGCATCAGCCGAGGTGCTTTTTTCCGCTCCGCGATATATAGAGATATATACAGCGATAGTCGCGATTGTGCACGATTAAGTCTGCCATGTCGTTATCGCGAATGAAGCGTGACGGCATTTTTCAAGCATATAGACAAGTAACGCAAGAAGCTCGATTTAATGTGACATGTGTCATTCATATAATGTATGCGAGTCACGATTGTTCGCTAGAGAAACACATTCGTATCAATTTTCTCGATGGGTCCTGACAGCGACTGAAGCTGGGTGCGGTTGAAAGGTCGTCGTGCGGCCTCCACCAACACTAAAGAATATAAACCATTCACCGCCAACTCTCGAATGAGAGCTCTCACGAGCGCGGGACTTAGAGTCATTCATTTCGCGAGAAGGTAGATGAAAGCGATACGAGGCATTAATTGTAAGTCGGAAATGGTCGATTATATTTTCGTTCGCGCTAGGAATTTATCATTTCGTCTCTATCATGCGCACTCGCTATTTTTCCCCACTAAATTTGAATAGTGAAATATTGGCAATAATTATTCTAATATACTGAAAGAAAATTATTAAATTCATAAATATTTATTTAGTACTGCCTAATAAATCATTTTTTAGAACAAATAAATTTTTATCTGTTTTGAAAAGGATTTTCTTATGTCAAATCAATATTTTTCACATTAAATCGATATTATTAGTTTTAAATTAATGATTTATTAGGCAGTATTGAAATAAATATTCGAATTCAATAATTTTTTTTTCCGTGTACTTTATACATGTCATCATATTATCATTCTTATCATATACATTTGATTATCAACATTTTGTTGCATATATGCGGTTTAAAGACTTATCATAGATATTTCGCATTTCTCAAAAATGTTTTTCAGAATTTCACATGTTACGATCCCTATCCAAACTGTAATCTAAAAAATTTCGATGCATATCTAATCGACGGATATCTGACATGTTACATTGCTATCTAAAACGAAAACGTTTCAAAACGTCACATATCACTCACAAAGATACTCCAATCAACATTTTCGTGCAATAGTAAACGGAAGTTTTTGGCACGGGTCATCGTTTGGCGGCTGCGAGCATCCAAACGACGCGGCTTTTGGGCCGCGTGTTTCACACACGTGAATCCATCGCACATGTGCAGCTCTCCAATTGCGGGATGCAATTTTACACGTGTATGCACGCATGTGTATATATTCGCTCGTGTACATCTGCATTCGAAATCTCGCGCATACATGCATTCACGATATATACGGGAATGTGCTTTCGTTGTTGCGTATGTATATCTTCGACTGTATATATTTTATATATGTACAGGGTGTCCCAGAACTGGCGGAAAAGTTTTCAATTTCTGCTATTATTTGGAGACGATTTTCCTTAGTGAAAATGTTGACAAGCCATTATTTTTAGTATGTTCCCAATCTTATTATCTATCTTAATCTAAGCCTTATATTAAAATTCTATTAAAGCAAACTCTACCTAAAATTAATTGAAGAATCTAGTTCTGTTAATATTTTATTTCCAGAGCGCTTAGTTTCGAAAATAGCCTTTATTTTCAACTGCTTATAATTCGAAAATGATTGGTGTCTCGACATTTCTCTCGAAAAAAAATCGTCTCCGAATGATACCAGAAATCTGCCATTAAAAATTTCCGTCAGTTCTGGGACACCCTGTATATGTGTGTGTGTTTTTATGCGCGCGTGTATTTTGTGTTTTGTGTGAACACGCACACTTACATCCACACACACACACTTGGTAGATAGGTATAGCGAGTTTATCGCGAGCCCAGCTGGCTCGCTTCCATAAACTGCGCTCGTAAAAACTCCCGAGGCTTCCCTGTGCCGAGCTTAAAGCCCCGGGTTGCATCGGTCGCCCGGGGACCGGAAGTCGACAGGCCACGCGGGTTTTTATACGTGCGCGCGGGCGTTGTATATGGATCGAAGGACGGATCCTGTCTTCGAGGACCCTCAATCGCGCTCCATCGATCCTGCCCGGTCGCCGCGAAAGGGCTGGGACGTCCTTTCTTGATGCTGCCCTTCCTGCCTTTCCCTTTCTTCGCTCCCCTTCTCGTTCCTTCGTCTTGGGGATCTCCACCCTTTGTTTAAAGTCGTTATACGTATACGAGCGACGTGACGTAGGCGGGCTGCTCCGATTTCATTCGCGATCATTAACTCGAAGGGGTTGAAGCGGTATAAGAACGATATTATCGTCCAAAAGTTCCGGCAATAACAATGCGAAATAAGACGCAGGATTGATACTATGTCAAGTTTCTTATTGCGATATATAAAGAAGGTTCCTGTTTTTTATAAACTTATGACATGAATATTAATATAATGGTGATTTAGTACCCTCTTGAAAAAGCAGAGATGTAAAAATTACTCTACTATAAAAATTACACTGGTCAACGCAATATTGTCCCAAAGGAATGTCAGGTGATTTCGATAGGGTTTTTCCCGTAGATTACGGGATAATCTGAAACGAAAAATGTTCCTTGAGAGAAACGGAGTCAAAAAACCCGTTTTTAGCATTTTTTCAACCTTTGTCACAAAGAAACGGGACGAGATAGAATACTTTCCGAGGAGTCAAATTCAAGCTTAAACTTTAAACTTTAATGTTATGAAGCAAAGAAACATGTGACAATATTGTGAAGTCGTGTAGCACATGTTTTTTGACTAGGCGCGTGTCAATTTTGATCTCGCGTTTGACAACAAGACTGATTTTGAACTTGGTTTAAATTGAGAATAAAAAATATCGGAAAAAAAATTAAAAATTATGTCGAAATGTGTCTTGTCAAATCAGTCTTGTCAAACGCGAAATCAAAATTTCTTTCCCGTTTCTTTGTGACAGATTCAAAAAATGCCAAAAACGGGTTTTTTTGACACTACGACCCCGTTTCTCTCAAAAACGTGACGTGATGATGAATCTATAGGAAAAATCCGAAATATCGAAATCATCTGTCATTTGTTTTGTAACATAAAATAAGTCGAAAAATATTGACCAGAAAAAAATTAATTATGTCGAAATGTGTCTTGTCAAATCAGTCTTGTCAAACGCGAAATCAAAATTTCTTTCTCGTTTCTTTGTGACAAAAATTCAAAAAATGCCAAAAACGGGTTTTTTTGACACTATGACTCCGTTTCTCTCAAAAACGTGACGTGATGATGAATCTATAGGAAAAATCCGAAATATCGAAATCATCTGTCATTCCTTTTGTGACATAAAATAAGTCGAAAAATATTGACCAGTGTTATTAATGTATTAAATATATAGTATAATATTATATATAAATGACGCGATGCATATTTTTGGAATAACTTTTTTAGTACACAATTTCATCGATTAAATACTGACTGCAAAAGAAAAAATACCACAAATTTTCAAAGTCTGTAATTTTAGTAAATCGAAAAGTGAATGAAATTACTGTTAATCTATGGCGAATTTAATGGATCGAGGATTGAAAGCGAAAAGTTGACAATAACTGCATAGGACATTGATTTTTCCGTGAGATAAGCAAGTTGCTTGACATAAGATTCGAGTTAGTATAGTTCGATGTTGCAAGCGTCGGTTGAGGATCGAGGTAAATCCTTCGTCACGGTGTAGAGGGTTTAAACCTCTATTACTTACTAAAGTTGAGTTTACCAATCCCATTCCCCTTTGGAATTCCTCGGTGCAAGTTTGTGCCAAATCGTAAGCGTTTCCAACACCCGGTGCAGACTTTGCGGAAATGCAATCTATCGCTCTCATCTTTCGGAACTAAGCTCGTCGAGTGGATATCCGACTGATCTGGTAAGACGAGACCTTGTATTGACCGGATAATGGCCAGTAATACGATCAACCTGTGTTAGATATTTGACGTAAACGACTCGAATTCGCTCGATACAGCTTTAGACTTTACATCTTATTAATATATAATTCGTAATGTTGAAATAAGCTTAATCGACAACAAAATATAATTGCATTTCGAAAAGTAGCGTATGTACTTGAAGAGCTGCATTATTTTATTGTACATGGTCCATGAGATCCATAGGAAATTGTTAAAACTAATCAGCTGTCATTTTTTAATGCATGCAGTTCTTGAGAAAACAAAAATTGTGTTGCAAAAGGGAAAGTTTACTTTTTTTCAATAAAATAAACTGGTGTACAAACATTTGATCTAAATCCATTAAAAACTGCAATTTTCCTCTTTTCAACACAATTTTTGTTTTCTCAATAACTGCATGCATTAAAAAGTGACAGCCGATTAGTTTCAGCGATTTCCTATGGGATTTCACCCTGCAAAAAGCATGATAAAATATAATGTTTTTCTACGACGAGTTAGAGTAGGTATTTAAAAAAAAATATCATGCGTTAAGACAGGAAGAGACGCTGAATTATTTCCGTATGGTCGAGGAAACGAAAACTGCAGGTCGACGTAATCGTTGCAGGCGTGTCTCTCTCGTGTGACGTCGCTTTCTGCGTTCGTCGATGCGGTGCAGATGAGCTCGTTCGTGCATGAGCGAGCACACACACGTAACCGTTTAATGCATAGCGGAGTTCCCTGCATGATGCAGGTCTAAAAATAAATCACGTACCCTGTCTGTTCATTCAATTGACACTATAAACTAAATTGAGGTTTTTCTTTCAGGCTCTACTCGGTATATATACGGACGATGACGACGATGACGACGATTTGCACATGGATGTAGGTATGTATGGTATACGTAGCGCCGCAGAAGAGTTGCCCTATATATCGCCCGCGTGAATTACCGGGTATTACTTCGTATGAGTGAGTTTGTAAGATCTATTGAGTTATTATACGTCGCGTTACGTAACGCACGATGAGCGAAATGCAAATCGGATATTATATATATATATATATATGTCGAATTTTGTTCTCTTTGCGCGTCGCGGTATTCATTAAAATCTTTTATGATTATGCAATTACGTAGAATGAATGAGAAAGTTGTTATTTTAGAATAAATTATAATCTTAATCTTTTTTAAATTACATCCCCGAGAAAGGAGTTCTTTGACAAAATCCAGAGTAGAATTAATTATAAAATGTCTCATACAAACAATTTAATGCATTCAAAGAACAACCGAGAAGACTCGCTTTCAATAACATCAAAATTATTAATTAAAATAGTAAAAGCTTAAGATTATTTTTTGTAATCTGTTTGAATCCCTACGAAGTGCAGCTTGTCTGAAGTCTATAATTTTCAGTATTAATTAATTTTGTACGCGTAAAATTTTTTCTTGAAACAATAATTTTCAAATCAGACTGGAATAAAAAATACGCGACTTTTTTTATTCCATTTTATATATAGTAATCTCTCTTAACGTCAGTACCCACATATCAATCGTAATCTTAAGATTATGTTTTGTAATCTGTTTGAATTCCTACGAAGTGCAGCTCGTCTGAAGTCTCTATAATTTTCAACATTAATTCATTCCATGCGCGCAAAATTTTGTTTCGAGAAAAATGATCCTCAAATCAGACTGGAATAAAAGATGCGCTTTTTTACTCCATTTTATATATAGTAATCTCTCTTAACGTCAGTACCTACATATAAATCGTAATCTTAAGATTATGTTTTGTAATCTGTTTGAATTCCTACGAAGTGCAGCTCGTCTGAAGTCTCTATAATTTTCAACATTAATTCATTCCATGCGCAAAATTTTGTTTCGAGAAAAATGATCCTCAAATCAGACTGGAATAAAAGGTGCGCTTTTTTTACTCCATTTTATATATAGTAATCTCTCTTAACGTTAGTACTCACGTACCCGCTTTAGCGAGCTCGTGCAGCCGTGCTCCACCGTGGTTAGAAAGTCTAAAAATACGGCGCCGTCCCCGTCTGTCCATTCGTCTGTCCGTCCATCCGTCCGTCTGCGCTTTATTTGTGGCGGTCGCCACGATGTCGCCAGCCACGCATACGACGAATACATTACACGACCTTCGGGTTATGGATTCGAGAAAACGTCAGAAAGAAAGGGGATACGCCGGTTAAGGGATGGAAATAATAAATACCAATTGCCGAAAAATTGATGAAGAGCAATGAAAAGCAAGACACCGGTGACACTTTGCAACGTTCTCAAATAAGCTCATCAAGCGTCATATTATTTTACCCTCGCTACTCATTATCCTAGCGTAAGAAACATTTATGGAGAGACACGGAACGCGCGACAATCTCGTAGCACCTTCGCGATTTACTCCGATGATTTATTATCCGCTCTTTAATGACTTGCGACGCACGACAACGCAAAGGCTCGACGAAACCAGGTCCTTATTTCGCCGATTAATCAAAGTTCCCGCGATAAAATTGAACGTTCAATTCATCACTTGATTAATCGATATATATATATATATATCGATATATATATATATATATATATATATATATAGGGTGTCCGGTAACTAACGGACCAACGATTACAAGTGGATTCTTTGGTCAATTTGGGAACGATTTTTCCTCAGCAAGAATGTCGAAAAAAGTCATCATTTTTTACAACTTTCCAATATTTGTCATTATGTATCTTTATAACTAAGCCTCAAATTACAATTTTATTATAGTAAACTCTACCTGAAATTAACTGAAATAACTCGAAAATTATTGACTTCTCAACATTTTTGCTAAGGAAAAATCGTCTCCAAATTGGCCAGAGAATCCGCCCTTAATCATTGGTCCGTTAGTTACCGGACACCCTGTATATATATCATATCTACGCGCTCTCGCAAGAGCTACGTAGTTTCCAAACGGGAGATTGCCGGACTTGTTTCTCCGAGCGTTACGCATTGCGTATGTCTTTGAAGTACGTACGAACCGTACTAATTAGGAATTAACCTCCGCGCAGTTTAGAGTTCTCCGCGGTCGTTAAATTAATCTCACCGCAGTCTACCGATGCGGAGCCCGATTCCGCATCTCCGCTCCGGGTTACGTACACCTGGTGCTCGGCGGCACTGTGATTTTACACCTGGCGGCAACGAGGCAATATTCGAGCTCGTCATTGCGCCCATAATTGATGATACGAATACATCGATGAGTTGATTGCAAAAGGACGCTTGGCATAAATTGGAAAGTGTGTAATAATACGTACGGCTTTACAAAATCGCGTGAATTTATATGTCACGAGAAAACAGAATTATTTATTCTATTTAGAATTATTAATGATCTTATTACAGCAATATTTGATATAGTCATTACGTTTCAACGATTCTATTAATTTCAAACAAAGAAATTATAATATAAGAAAAACTATACTATAAGAAAAATTCTTATAATATATTATAATTTTGAAAATTGATAAGATTAAGGAAAAAGCGATTAATTTGAAACAAATCTAAGATGTAAAAACAAAATTTTAATATTGAGATGTAATGTAATTGCATTATTAAAATAGTTCCTACTGTTAAGTTTCTAATCTGATTTTTCTAAAATATATCTTTTCTATTTTTTTACTTTGCTATTACACAACAAGTCAATTAATTAAAGACTAATATATTTTTCGAATTTGTTTTATCACACACTGCAATTGTTACCTTGACTAAATACTATTATATTTTGTTCATCAAACATATAAAAATATTAAAATTAAATATAATATAGTAAATCTAACACAAGACGTATATTTGACTTAAATATTAATGTGTGTTCAATTAACAAAATAGTAATTTAGTTAAAAGTCAAGTTAAGAAATATTTGTTCAGTACATGATCGTAGGAGAATTTTCTCGCGTTGACGTCACGGTTCGAAAAATCTGTCGTAGATAGAGGTTTATCGCGAATACATCGGCATCAGCATAAAACAGTTCCAGCAACATATATTTACGAGACGCGCGCGCGCGCGCGCTTACGTCATTATAAATCTGGATCGCACCTTGCTCGCGTGTACAATCTGGCTTGCGGAAAACGAGCAACAAGAAAGAGAAAGAGCGGCACAAATCCGCGCGCGCTCGGCCTCGTGCGTGCGATTTCGGCGCATTTCGTGCACCTTGCTTGCAACGAGAGCGCATTTTGCAGGCGAGAGACGAAGAGAAACGGGAGTGGTCCTCGCCGGCCCTCCGGAAGGCTGCTGCCGGCAGATGGTCGGCAGATGTCTACAATCTCGCCCTGATTGCAGGTCCGGGCGAAGAGTAAGTCGCCCGTGAAAGGCGAGCTGCTATCCGTTTGCACGTGGCGGTTTGGTAGCACCGCTATCCGCGCCAAATCCTCCGGCATCGATCGATCGATCGGTCGGTCGAATGATCGCGATCCCAGCGTCTCGTGATGATAGGATGTTCTTATGTCGATAATGCTTCTTAGCGAAGGAGGCTGCCGCAAAGACGCCGCTCGCTTCGACATCGAATTATATATATGTAGATATAATATGCGATATTTTTAATGAAATTCTCTTAAGGTTCTTTGAACAGAAGAGTTTGCGATTTACTTTTAGCAAATTATTCGAGCAACTGAAATTGCGAGGAACTCTATCCGAGAGAAGGAATATTTAGAAAATTGTAGAATTTTTGATGTCTCGATAATAATTCTGTATAGGAAGAGAATTTAGAAGTAAATTTATTTATTACAATAAAAAATAGTGTAGAATTGAATCTTAATTCCCTTAAAATTGTTTTCTCGATAAAATTTAAATGAATATAAATTTTCTTTTTGTAAAAACTAGATTATTTCTATAAATCGATTTGAAGGAAATGAAGACTCAAGTCCACTATTTTCAAGAAAGTCAAAACTTTCTAATAATAGATTTTGAAAGTTTTTTCGGAAAGAGAAACGAATCCGCAGTATCGGTTTCGTCATATATTTTTTTCGGAACGAGGATTAAAAAGGTGATTCTCGAAACCTGTTCGACTGGAGAGCAGTTTTAAATATCCCAATATCTCGACCAGCTTTTGGCGAGTTTGGTGCAACCACCCCGAGCGGACAATAGCGTGAAATTCCATAGCGTAGAGCGTTCAGTGGTCGTGCAGAGCGTATCGCCAGGTCCATTCACTTGAGAAATTTGTTCGACGGTGGAATCCATCGGGTTTGCCGTCATTGCTGCGGTCTTCTGCTCGGAATACCGGCCGCCAGGAGGATTCTGGGGTCCTTTGTTTGGCCTGCTCTGCGCGAGAAAGGTACACCTGCTCGTCGTCGATCTTGACGGCAACCTGCCTGTTCGGCATCCTCTTATTCTGTCCCTTCGTAATATCATCGGTCCACACGAAACCGTTTCACGACCGGTAGATTGGACCACTTATAATCCAGATCCTCCACCCGTCTGATTTTTACCTCCAAGATGGAAAACGCGTGGCTCATCTTTTCGCTTCACCTTTGCCTTCGCTAAGCGGTATTCCCGACATGTATACAAATCGTTTCCTATATGAATCTCAGATGAGTAGAAATCGAATTATCGATTCGATACCGTTATGAATTCGTAATAGTTTTGTTAATGGTCCTATTGGTAATTCTGGTCGGTGTCTTATGCGTTTTATTTCATATCATCATACGAGTTATCGGCCAAAATAAATGGCATAATAAAGAAGTAAAAACATATACTTATTAATTTTTACCTGAATACCTGTACATTTAAAATAATTAGTTGCATTTTAAAATTGCCAATTATTCGCTCTCATAGTGCGTTTATCGTTTTCAGCATAATTTTTTAATCATGATAGAAAATATATATTAGATTTTATATATATTAAATATATATTATCTTAATCACTTATTTTTAATTTCAAATTTTCATAATAAAGTAGTATATTAAATAAATATTTTGCGTTTTATATGAAAATGTAATTGGTTTTTGATTAATATTCGCTATAATTAATTTTAAAGGTAAAATATACAACACGAAATGGATCAAATTTCTCCTTTTTATTGAACATTTTTCAATCTTATCATAATGAA